TGGCACAAACACATCTGCAGCAGAAATCAAGAGTATTAGGTAGTAGAGATGTTAGGTAACTTCATACTGTCTTGTAACTATGAAATTTGTCCCTGGATGAGAACAGTAGACCTTCAGATATAGAGATAGAATTATCGGATTTATAGATAGAAGACAGTGGCCATTCATATTTATTTATAGGCAGCTGATGACAATAGTCCTTTAAAATTTTATGTATAAGCAGGAGACTATAATGCATATGCATTATAGTCTCCTATATCTATCTCCTATAGTCTATCAAATATAATGCATATGCATTATATTTGATATGAATCAAATATATTTAGAGACATTTCTAAACAGCTGGATCTTCTTTTTTCACAGTAAGTACAATCAGAACAAAGTTTAAAATAATTAAATACTAAAAATATGAGGTATTGTATTGATCTGTACCTAGGCTTTATTTGCTGTTGTGTATAGGTATATCCAAATAAAACAATTAAATGAAACAATGGCATTCCAATTTACACAATTTTCAGATTACTAAAAAAATAGTGCCTTTTTTAAAATTTGATTTAGAAGCATTTTCTAATTATTCTTCATCAATGTTCTTGCGAATTTTCCTAAATAAAATAATCTGGTATTTATCTAATAACATCTAATCTAATGAATCTAAGAACAGTATTCAGAAATCAATGAATCCACTCACACAACTACAAAAATGTAATCTTTTCAATAATTGTATAAGCATGAAGGCAAGAAAAAAGGAGAGACACTCATTGTTAATTTACTTTGTATTTATTGTTTAAGATATTGATTAATTTAACCAATGATAGCATTTTATAAGTTTTAGAATTTTCTTGAAACTTTAAAATATTGTTCTGTTTCCGATTGTGTGCATGTTGCAAGTTTGGATCCCGGAAGACAAATCTTTTAACCTAGATAAACAATTTAAAACACTTATTTCAAAACATCAACAACTACTACAGCAAAGAATATGTCATGTAATATAACTAAATAAAAGAATTATAAAAAAAGTAACGATACATAAAAATTTGAGGACACTGGTTTAAAAATATTTTTTTTTGAAGGTTTTTAAAAACCCAAACGATGATTTTTAAGAAATTTTGATTAGCAACAGCCAGAGCTGAACATGGTGATTAATGTCACACTATTTCAAGAAAAAGAACACGATGGTGTCAATATGATTAACATAGCAAACTAGCACTACTGATCTAGAACTAGATTGCTTCGAGTTTCCAGTGGGGAAATAATGCAGTAATGCATACACAATAGCATCCCTGTGATTTAACCACCATCTTAACACTCAAATGGAGTGATAAGGTTTAGTCTAAATATAGATCAGGACGCCATCTAATATCTAAATATAGGTCAAAAATACAAGTCAGGAAGGATTATTTAATACAGTAAAATATTGTTTGCGCAATTTTCATGGATTATTTCATCATAGTCCAACAATTGTAAAGATAAAAGTGCATACATATATATGATGAAAAGCTTCTAATTACATATTATCTCAAGTATTACCATCCTTTAAAAAATTTCAATATTTTTAGCCTGAGTCATAATTTTTTTTACTTGAATTTAAGAATGAAGACAAATGGAATAAAAAAAAAGGCTAACAGTTGAAACAAAAGAAGGCAAACAAAGCAAGGAAATGGCACAATGGATTTCAGTGCCAGGCAGAATGTACAGAAATCATATAAAAAGCGAAAATGAATAGTTATAATGTTATACATTTATACAATGAAAGCCAAACTTTAAAATTAAATAATTTGTAGCAAATGTTTTCAATGCAAATATAGTTAATATATTAGCATTCTATCATGTTTTCATAGAAATCCTTCTAGCGCATTGCTATTACTGTGCACTAATGATTGCACACTCATTATAGGACAAAATGGAGACAATGGCATATTGAAAAATATTATATGGTTTAACAAAATGTTCTTTAAACAATTTTCTTCTTCTGTTCGCATTTTTGAACTGTTCAAAATAAAGGTCTGTCTCTTTCTCATACTATCAATAGAGTAAATTAACAAAACCAGTCAAGAAAAATCCCACCAAATACACTTATATTTCTTAGAAATATGAGTGTATTTGGTGGGCATAAAACCAATGTTTGACTGTAATGATTCGAATACAACAGTAGGTCGACTTGGACTTGTACTTAGATTTAAAAACAATTAATGGACATAGGATAAAAATGAATATAGTGAGTTTTTGTGAATTTTAAATATCTTGGAGACACAAGCAAGTTAGCAAGCAAGTTCCCAAGTTAGTTTGATCCTTTCAAACTTTTTCTCAATTGGTATAACCAGTGGTCAGAAGTAGCAAAACTGCTGCAGTGTTTTCATCATAGAAAAAAAATGGGTGAGAATTTTTCACCCTTTCTCAAAAGCAGGGTGAGATTTCAAAAAGTTAAGTGAGATTTCTAAAAACTAAAAAAACACTAAAACTCTTTAAAAAAAATTATTTCTTTGACTATAATAAATTTTTAACGTCTTCCACTTTTTAAAGCATTGAATATTTTTGGTGCATCATCATAGAAGATTTTGCCTTTACAAGGTATTTGTCCATCTTAAATAAGTGCATAAAAAATTTGAACGTCTTACATGAAGAAACCTTACCTACGGTGAACATGTGATTGTAGAGAAATGTGCTCTGAAAGGGGTTCCGTGGTTGTGTTCTGTTGTTCGAAAAGGTTCTAAACAATACTGGTAAATAGGGAAGCTAGATAATGGGGCAGATGATGAAAATAATGAAAGATCTAGGAAGAAAAGTGAAACGGATTTTTTTCTAAATGGCGTAATTCGAAGCTTTTTCCAAAATGCAAGAAATTCGCGAATTTTGAAATTGATTTATAGAATGCGCGAATTTCTCGCGGTAATCATTTTTTAATGCGAGAAAAGAAAAAAATATGCGAGATTCTCAGATTCTCGCGCTGTAGTGAAAACACTGTGCTGTAGCTACTTTTTTTCTGCAGTTAGTAGTGCAGTGCGCTACTTTTAAAAAGAAGTAGTGCAGTGAGATATAAAAAAACAGTAATTTGTAGCGATTCCTGGCAACTACATTTCAAATTAGTTAAATAAAGATACAAAGCTCAAATGTAAAAAAAAATTTGAATCAAATTTGTTCCAATCCTTTGCGAGCCAGTTAATGCACACAATGAGAATGCCACTCTAGCGTTAATAGGATCTATGTCTGATGCTCGGAAAAATCTGTGCAAAATCGGTACAGTTGTTCCTGAGAAATCGAATTTTTAATATTAGACTTTTTTAAAATTTGATTTCACAGGAACTATACGTTTTGTGCCTGATTTTGTAACTTAAAATATAGTCTGCATTAATTATTCAGTATATTTGCGGTCAGTCCCTCAATCCACTAAAATTGAGTACTAGAAAGTAAAGATCCGGTCATTAGATCAACAGTTATTCAGGAAGGTCCGTCTTTTTGTTTTTCGCACTGTACTTTATTTCTTGGAGTATATAAAAAGCATTGATCACTTAAATTACAAATATTTGATAATAAGATACACGCTATAAAGAAAGGTAGATATNGAGCGCGTTTCTTGCTGTCACATATATGTGACAGTCGGCTCGAAAGGGTTAAATCACTGTCGAGAAAAGCATAAAGTTTGAAAGTTTAAAGAACAAATTTGTAAAAAGAGCTTTAGAATTAAAAAAACTATTACATGTAAACATAAATTAAAACTTCTTAATATCTCCTCATACTTAACCAAGCCAATTTTTTATTCGAAATCATTTTAAATATTGGTGAAAATCTTCTCCAGTAAGTTTGTCTTCTAAAAGTAGTGATAACATTTTGAAAGCAGTTTGTAGTCGCTAAATTTAAACAAAAATAGTTAATTACAATTGTCATAAAGTAGTTGTATTTAACTACAAAGAGAATGTAGTTTTCCGACCACTGGGTACAGCAATTAATTCGTTGCAAGGAATTTTTAATGTCTTGGAAAGACTACCACAGTGATCTATCACTATTTTGATCTATTCCTTCCTTTCTCCTGTTGCCACAGGTAAAATTTAACTCTCTATTCAAAAACACAAAGAATGGATAGACAATATTTATTCATGCCTTGATTATTTCAAGGCACATTTTAAAAATTAAACAACAAAAGCACAGAAAATTTTGACCTACCACTATCTTCATAGTTTTTTCTTTTATATTAACAAACTAATAATTTAAAGATAAGAAATAATGCTTAAATTATAAGTATATTATCAGTCACTTTTTATTTAGATGGGATGCCTGTGCTTGTTTTTTTTTTCTTCGAAAGAATATATAGTTTGTCTAAGCTCAGAACTCCTCCCGCCACAAAGTCTGCACCAGTCTAGCACTATGGAAACGGGAATGGCGCATTTTAGGTAGGGTAGCTTCACTCTAGCCGACCTGGGCAACAAAACAGTGACCCCGCACCCCTATTTGAAATAGTCATACCTCGTTACCATAGTCACCGCCACAGATCCAGACGAATGACAACTGGAGTTCTTATTTTAGACAAACTATACCTCTTCTTTTCTGTAAATTCAAAAGGTAAACGGGTCCAAGAGTGAAAAGGTCTACAGTAGAAATTAAGTTAATCATGTTAATCTCATTTCTACCTTGAAAGTATGAAATAACTTTTGAGAGCCACTGGACGACGGGAGAAAAAAAAAAAAAACCAGATGTTAGCACACATGAATCAAAATTTCATTTAGGTTGATTAACTTTCTGTAATAATGCTAAGCAAAAAAAATCATTATTTTCCCTAACAGCAAGAAAAATCTAGCTGACTACTGACTAAATTAGGTACCTACATAAATAATGGTAATGCCTAAACTAAATACAACTAAAGATTGTTTTTCTGTGTGATGATAGGGTATTAAAAAGCGTTAGATGACAATTCAACTATATTAAGGTACCACATTAATATAGTAAGGAATTGATTATATTATTTCGCACAATTATATAAAATAAACTTAAATAGAAAATTATCTTACCTTGTTATTTTGCATCAAAAATGCTGCACTAGATGGTAGTTGAGAGCCTGGTGAAGAAGATTGCGGGACAGTTGCCGTGTTCAATGTTTGAGCCATTTGATCTTGAGGGAAATTATTTACAGCGTTCTGGATATAAAGATTTTGTTGCATAGCATTTGTAGATAATGTATTACTGTTCAGAAGAATTGATCCTCCTGACAAAGTACTACTAACAGTACTAGGATTTTGCCTCACAATATATTGGTTCGCCGATTGAGGAGCAGCTCTTTGTTGTGAATTTAAAGACTGCTGTAATAGAGGAGACTGATTCGGAAGATACACTTGTTGTACATTGTATAATTGATTAACGGGCTGTTGTTGAGGCTGCATATAAACCTGTCCTTGCGGCCCACTTCTGACAGCTACAATATTCGTATTTACACTACCAGGCACAGCCTTTGGATTATAATTTTGAGGAGTCTTTTGAGAAGCAAAATCCATCAGAACTTTAGTAAGATTCTGGCTTGAGTTGAATGAAACCGTTCTATTAGGAGGCACTTGATTTTGGTAATTTGGAGGACTCTGAGCATGTAGATTGTTATAATTAGAACTACTGGTCACAATACCAGGAGGTCCAATATACCTTGGCGGACCACTACTAATGTTTTGGGACAATGTTCTTAGATTAATATTTGGTGACTGATTTGACATGGAATTGATGTAAGAATTTGACATCATTGGAATATTTGGTGTTGAACTACTTGGTCTAGACATCACAGAATTGGTATACCCTACACTAGGTGCTCCAATATTCGGAGACATGAAAGGTTGAGAAAGTAATTGAGATAGTTCATTAGGTTGCACACTTTGAAGATCAGTACCTGAAGGTAGAGAAATTGCTGGATTATTAGAGGAGAAAGAACATTGAGAAAATGGGGAAGAATTAGTTGCTTCCATTTTTTCTCTTTTAATCTGAGCAGGTGTTAAGACCCTCTCTTCTATATGGGATGCTGCACTTTCAGGACGAGCAGGTGTTCTGGGACCACTACCTCGAGATGGAGTCTCCCGAGAATCATGGAACATATCATTTCGAGGAACATTCTGCTGAATTAGAGAATTGTTAGAAGACATTGCAGTTATACCAGGAATAGGAATAGTGCAATCAACACCAGCTGAGTTAAGTTGATCAGCAATTGAGTCAACTTGAGTCTCTAAATTAGCTATATGGTTTATATTAGGAATTGCATTTATTGTATTAAATGCATTCAAACTTAATCCACCAGCATTCGATAGATCAGGAAGAGGGGATGGCTGTGCAATGTGAGATGAACTCTCAGAAAATTGGCAGGCAGGCATTTCTTCTTCCTCTTCATCAATATGCTCTTTTTTTATCTGAATTGCAGTCTTAAGAGGGGTATTTTCCTCTTCTTTTTTCAAAAAGTGCTCGGAGAGTCTAGTGAATGATCCGAATCTTGTGAGCCATTTCTTAGCTATCTTATAGATTTCTTTCACATTCAGAGCAATTAGATATTCATTGTGTCTGCTTTTATCTTTAGATAATTCTTCAACAGATTTATTGTTCATATCTATGCGGTGAAGAAGTGCAGCTTTTGGATTCTTTTCTAAGTCCATTATACTTAAAATCGATAATGCTTCTATCTCTCGATATTCTCTTTCAAGATGGGAGTCATTTTCAGTAGTTTTAAAGCTACTCAGTTTTTCCGACTGCTGAGTTTCACTAACAGGTGTAATTGAGCCTCGCGACAAATTGGTAACATCCATTAAATTTAAATCAGGGGTCTGAGATTTCTGTACTAAATTATCTGCAACTGTTTTTCTATCATTCAAAGATACATTTTCACCATTTAAAGAACTATTTCCTGAATTTAAAGAATCAACTGATATACTTAAAGATGAATTGCTAGCATTTAATGAAATATTTCCAGTGTTTAAAGATTTGTCTCCTTCATTCAAAGAAACATTGCCAGCATTTAATGCAACATTTCCTGTGTTTAAACCAACATTTTCTGTATTCAAAGATATATTTCTTGCATTTAAAGAAGTTCCTCCTGTATTCAAAATATTTGGTGCATTAATGTTCTGAACTATAATGGATTTATCAAGTAAAAATTGGGCAGGATCTAAAGATAATTGAGGGTTAATTTGATTATTATATGGAAAAGTATTGACACTATTTACAGCAGTGTTATTGGATAAATTATTATTAACATTAAGGGGAAGATTTTCCGATGGTGCAGGTGTAATTTGAAGTCCTTGATTGCTGATAAGTCTAGAAAGGCTTGGTTCATTTGTATAATATACGTTGTTTACAGACATTGGTACACCCATTCTAACAGGCCTGATGGCAATGCTATTTCCTGTAGATGCCGGGGTTATTTGAAAACCAGAATTAATAAGCCTTGTAATATTAGATCCGATGGCAAAATTAGCATTTGAAAAAGACAAACTACTATTAGCATTGGTGACAGGAAGATTTGTGTTTAACTTAACATTAGGTACAGCACTATTAATTACTAAATTGTTAGGCAAATTAGAAGAGGTTTGAGGTATTGAAGGTCTAATATTAACACCAGCAGATACATTTAAGAGTGCATTGGAATAATTATTATATGGAAAGGGCTGACGTATCATTGACAACTGGTTCACAGTAGGCATGCTGAGTGAATTTTTAGTACTAATACTTCCAGGAGCAATATTGCTACTGAGGGGAGAAACATTATTAATGTTTGAAACAACGCTGGTACTCTTGGGAGAATCTCCGCAACTATCATCTTTCTTTCCCATTGGTAACTTAGTCACGCTATTGTTTTGTGTTGTTTTATTTTGATAATATACACTCTCCAGAATAAAATCACCTTTCTTTGTCTTAGAAGCAGAGTAGTTGGCAACAACTACAGTAGGAACGGATGGCATTGAATACTTATCAAATTTATCACGACTTTCATCTGCAGCTCCTGCATCAGTGGTTGCCCCTGCAGAAGTTTTGGCACTAGTAACCTGAGATGTACTATTAATTAAATTATTTTTATCATTATCAGATGCAGATGGTAGGACATTGTTATTAGGAGTTTCAACAAGCTCTTCATCACGATCTGGAAATGTCATTAAAAATAACCCTTTATCGACATTTGTCATAGCAATACTATTAGTTTTTGATGTTTGAATTTGATTAGGAACTTTAGTCAACCCTATTGAACTTGCATCAGATTTAGATACACCTTTGCTTTTTTTCTTAGTGCTATTTCCTTTTTTCACCTTAATGGCCTTTTTTATAGAACAGTCTACGTTATCGACTGTTTCCCTGGGAGGAGAAAGACTTTTGAGATGATTGTACCCTTTATCAACTGATAATTTAACTGCTTTGTCAGAATATATTAATCTCTGCTGGTCATTTTTGGATAAAGTTTTCAAGACTTTATCCCTCACTTTGTTTTTCGAAGCTCCCCCTTTGGATCCTTTACTGCCAGTGGGGTCCCCTTTCTTGACTTTAGGTTTTTTTACCATCAATGCATTAGGACTAATTGTGTCCTTACAAATGACGCAAGCAATATCTTTCTTGTTTTCACTGTGAAATAAGACTTTACACCATCTGCACTTTTTCATCTTACTTTTTTCTACACTTTCTATTCTTTTAGTTTCAATAGTGCACACTGTATCAACCATGTTGGAAATTAGCTTTTGCACAGTGGTTACTGAAGGTGGCAAAATGTCATTCGTATGTTTAATACCAGTTCTTCCACGTTTGGCGGAGTTATTTTTAGTGGATTTTGAACAGGATTGTTTTGTGGTTGCTCCATTTAAAATAGTGCGAACCACTTTGGTATCTTTTGTATTCTTCATGTTGTAATCGGCCATTTCCTGCATGATCCGGGATAACACATCACTATCAATCATTGTGTTTTGATGTGACTCTGCAATTGCTTCAACTTTTTTAGGTTTAAGTTTAGGTTTCTTTTTAGGAGGTGGGTCGTAACTTTTTCTTGGATCATAAATATCTTCAAGTTTAGGAGCATTTACATCTTCAGATGATTCAGGATTTTCAGATTTTTCCTCTTCTTCCTCATAATTATACATGTAAGTCTCGTAATCAAAATCTGATGAGTCCGAATCTGGATCTGATTCAATTCTTCTCCTTCTAGTTGTGATTCTAAGCTTATCATACTTTTTTTGCCTTGAACTTGTATGTCTCCAAGCGTTAATGTCTGCATCACGATCCAGAGTAGGACTCCAATCTATATCTTCTTCATAAGGCAATTTTTTTCGCTTCTTTCTCTTCCCTGAACTGAGGGACTCTGATGGCCTGTATTCATCACTAGAGGATTCGAAATCATTATTTTCAAAAGACCATTCCCTAGAGCGCTTCTTATGAATAAAATCTTGTCTATAGTTTTTGTATTCTTCAAACTTATCTGCAGCTATTTTATGTCTAGCTAGTCGTCTAGCATGACGCACCTTCTTTTGATATTCTACATCAATGTAAGATGTATGCTTATCAATTTCAGCTTGAGAGAGTCGCTCCAATTTGACCCAACAAGGTCGTCTACATTTCTTCACCCTAGAAAATAAATAATAGCTACAAAATCAAAAAACATAATAAATGAAAAGTTTAGAAAATTTTATGCACAGAAAGGTAACAAAGTTCACGTCAGAGAATAAAACAAAAGTTTCCTCAAGGTTTCAAAATTGAAAATTGTTCCTAGTAGTCAGCTGTAAATTATTCACAAACATAATTTTCATACTTTATTACAATCTCAGTTTTCAAGTCTATGTAACAAAGTATTTGTATTGGTGTCCCACAAGACTACAATTTTAAATGCTGTATGCTCATAGTTATGATTTTTAACAGTAAGACAAAAATTAGGATAAAGAAAAACAAAACGCTGACTTGAAGAAAACTTGGATGTTTTTCATGCATGAAAATAAATGAAATTATAACAAGTTAAAAAATTATTTATTGCATTAAAAGTGTGAAAGTAAAATCGACATAAAAATAAAGCTCATTCTGTGCAGAATAATAAAAATAGAAATGATATAGGAAATTATATAGACATTAAAAATGATAGGAATAGAAATGATACAGAACATTTTCAACACATGTCATACAGATGATTGACATTCATTCAATAAATTGTTTATTTGCATATTAAATGTATCTGTTTCTAGATATTTATTTTGAACAGAAATTTTTTCTATCCTTATTAGAAAAATTCGCAGATATTTAAATTAAAATAGTAAGTTAAGCAGACTTTTCAAGAAAAATTTAGCTTGAAAATTAGACTACCTAAGATACAGAAAAGTAAGCACCTACTGACAATGATACATTAGTAGGTACAATATGTTGCGGTTCAAAGTATCATGCTAAACTATAATTAGATTTTCCTTACTCTAAAAACTATTTTTTCTGGAGCACACAAAATGTGTTTTTAAAAAAATTTTATAAATAAACAAACATATAATGTATTTCTTCACTTACGTTTACATGCTGATCTTTGACTGGTCTTACGCAATAAATTTGAGACTAACATTTAACAAATATTTAAAATTAATAAAACAGAAATTTAGGAAATAGCAAATCCTTCAGATGTTGTGAACAAATGAACAAATATTTTAAAAAATATTTAATAAATGAAGTGAAAACACAAGTTTGTTTCAACCTTATTCGGTTAACTTTAGCTTAAGCATATTTCCATTTGTCAATATTGTTTACTTACTGACAAAATTTATTAATCAGTCTAACATATGCAATAAAATTATCATTACAGTTTTCACCGAACAGTCCATAAATAAAAAAAAGTAAGACACTTAAGATAATTGATTTGAATGAAAATATTCTTACAAGTCTGAATAGTGTAATTGTTCTGCAAGATCAGAATTTGTAGATATTCTAGAAAAAGTAAAATAAATTTTAACAAAAAGGCTAAGTAATATCATGGATTATTTATTGAATGCAATATATAATTAAACAAAAATAATTAAAATGCCTAAAAAAATGTACACAACTACATTACAATGCTTTGAAATAAAAAATAATATTGAAACCTGTGGCAAATAAAGTCTATGCACTTTAGTATGCAACCCTTTCATTATAATGATCCGTTTTCTGTTTCTTTATTTAAATTTTATTTTTTAGCCAATAAGGAGACAAAAATTATTTCAATATAGTGACCGACATATTTCTTGACTTTCTTTGATCCCCAGAAAATTTCTTAAAAATAAATGTTGGAATTTTTTTGTTTATTAAATTTTTTCACTAACCATGAGCAATTTTAAAGCATTTTCTTTTTAAATAAAACATTGTTGGTTAACTGTCTTTTTCTGTTGGTTTGAATTTAAACCCAACATAAGAATTTTTTTTATTGCTGAAAGTTATTATATGCTCCATACATATATTCTATCCTAAGTCGAAAATGGAAAATATTTTTGTCAGCAAGCAGTTTTTTGCTTGATCTATTAGTGAAACAAGTGATGTCCCATCTACTGATCTCTAGTTTTCCCTGCAATGCACCCAGGTTTCATCTTAAAAAATATATACTATGATAACATATTTATTAACTTCATCGATTTAATGTGTTTAAGAAAAATATCTGCATGAAATAATTATCTAAATAAGATAAAAAATATTTCCAAAAATAATTTTCCTGCCTTATTGTTAAAACAGCTTTACAATCAGACTTGGGTATCAGAGCGTAAAAATCACATTTATCACAAAGCTATTCTATTTATTTTGACATGCAACGGTAAGACTAATGAAAGCAAAATTACAGAAAATATGAAATGATTTTGATTTCAATTCAAGGTGGGAAATATCATTACGAAAATTGAGTAGAAAATGGAACTAGTTGCGCCATTTCTTGGCAATAATCAGGGGATTTAAAGAGACCTGTGAGTAGTGACTAATTTAATTTTAATGATGCAATTGTTCTCTATGTCGCAAACCATACAGGCACAAAACCGCCAAATGAATGAGATGTGACGCCGAAAGAGAAGGGGTTCAGTAGTGAATCACAAGTAAAAAAAAAGAAGAAGAAAAAAAGAGACTTGTGAAAAAGTGAGCAACAAAAAATATGAAGGAAAAAAAAAACAAGATTATTGATTGAATCTGTTCCCCTACTTTAAAAAAACAAAACCAAAAGGTTGATTTTTGCTAAATCTTATTTCTTACGGGTTTCTTGTATCAAAAACAAAATATTCTTTGCAAGATAAAATGTTGTACATGAGTCGCAAATTTTATTAGAATGTTTTTGTTGAGAATGAAAACTTTTTTTAAATTAGAAGACTTAGTATCAGAAAAAATTACAAATGTAAGCTTCAATTGCCAGCTGCACATTAAATACTATTATAAATGACATCTTTTGATATATAAAATAAAGTAAACTTACAGATCTGGCAATTCAGGCAAATCAGGACTAGAGGGTAAGCTAAAAAAAGACAAATGAAACATTTATAAATGCAATACAACATTCATTCAAAATGTTAACAAATTTAAAATAATTAAGAGCTAAGAAAAATTATACTGAGAATGCCATAGCGCTCTGTTATTGAGAGATCTTTCTTTTCTTTTTTTGTAAAAAATAAATAAATCAATAAAAATGCAAAAATAAAATGCTTTAAGTTAAAAAAATTTCTCAACTAAAAAAAATATGCAAACATATCAGTGTCAACATCCCTTATCGTCTTCACAACTTAATATTAAAACCAAGATTAAGATAATTACTGAAAAGTCATAAATCACTCACATTAAAAAGAACACTAGGCATATCTTCGGACATATGAGAACAAACGAAAATCACTTACGAATCGAATTCATCAACAATCTCGGAGGAGTCTATCATGTCTAAATTATCAGGTGAGTCATTTATAATTGGCACTTCAGTGGTCTGTGTATCAACTTCAGCAAACTCTGATACATCAGACACTTTAGAGGCAACAGCCATAAATGGATCTTCTGATGTCATGAGAAGAGAATTACCTCTAGAAAATTTATTTTAAAGTTAAGAACACAAAAAACTTGAATTATATTAACTAAACAATAGCTAAAATTTATGATTACAATTCAAAAAGATACTTAGTCCGTTTAACTAGCACTACATTTTCACTACTCTATAAAAAGAAAAGTCTGTCTCAGCGTTTGCAACATGCACTTAATGAACATCCTCTTTAGAACTATGATAGAATTTTATTCCTTAAAAAGATATATATCATCATCAGCATTGGCACGACAGCCCTTTGTGAGCCTAGGCCTTTCTCAGAAGCTTTTACCATTCTGCCCTTCTTCCAGCAATTGATCTCCAGTTCTTTACTTTCAGGATGGCAAAATCCTCATCCACACAGTCTTTCCATCTCTTTTTGGGTCTTCCTCCTGGCCTTTTATTGGAGGGGGTTGCATTAAAGACTCTTAATGCTGTTCGTTCTGGGCTCATTCTCACTACATGCCCGGCCCATCTCATTCTTAGTTTAATAGATTTAATGAAATCATCACTATTAAAGATCTTATGCATTTCAAAATTATATCTTTTTCTCCAGTTGTTGTTATCGAGCATAGCGCCAAAGATGGTTTGTAGAACCTTCCTTTCGAAGGTTGCAAATAACTTCACTTCCTTTTCTGTTTAAGTCCACCATGTCTCTGAAGCATAAGTCAAAACTGACTTGATTACTACCTCATAAAATAAAATCTTCGTCTTTCTTTTTATTAAGTGAGATATCAATAATGATCTTAAACCATAGAAGCAACGATTGACTGTGATTATTCTTTTTCTGATTTCAGGATTAATGTCATTTTGATAGTTTATTTCTGATCCTAGATAAGTAAAATTTTTTACAGATTCAAATTTAAAAGAATCTATTTCAAACAATTTAGGGATGGTTTACATTGTACCACAATACATATATTTTGTTTCCTCCACATTCACTCTTAAGCGCCCTTAAGCCCCCCTAAGCTAAACTTTTTCATTTTTATTCGAAATAAGTTTAGAGATCTTCTAGAAAAAAAAGGAAAGAAAAAAAAAGAGTCAAATCTTCCCCACTTATTTGTTTTGCTTATTAAAAATAAGAAAAAGTCTAAGGTAAAAACTATAAAATGAAACTATATAATAATAAACTGTAGCACATGCTATTGTGCTAGAGGGGTTTCTGCCGAAGAGGTTGTCTGTATAATGTCATAAGTCATTAAAAAGTTAATACTGAAAAAAAATTGTGTAAAAATGTATTTAAACAATAAAAACTTAAGTATATAAATATATGAATAAAAATATATACATTATATGTCATTTATTTACTTTACTGTACATTATTAAAAACATGGTCATATTTCGGCAATTTCTTGAATTTAGGCTAAACAGCAAAAAAAACCTATGGCTCTAGGACAGCGCTCGCGAAAGAGACTAGTTGCCTCAGTGATACAACTTAATGAGCATGAAAGGCAAAGAAGAAAAAAAAGTCCAGAGATAATTTTAAGAACAGATAAAATACAAATTAGACAAAATGAAAGTGATACAGGAAGCAATAAACTTCATACACTAAAATACTTTTCTGTATTCACATTTAAATGTTAAAAACGTAAAAGAACAAATTCAAGAATATTGATAATTACCCATGAACTTAACTTTAAGGCCATTTAAGTCAAAGAATTACATAATCCCGCAGCAAGTAAGAGAGTTGTCCCGCTACAATGTTTTTTTGTTTTATTTCATTTATTTTTTTAATTTCTCATTGATCACAATTCAGAAGTTGTACAGACTTTGCTTTTATTTTAGCATAGATTATGATACAAAAATATTCTTGAAAAACAATTCAAATGGTGTAGTATATTTATTACTAATTAATGCTGTTTTTTCAATGTTCATAGCATTAACTGTACCAAAATATAGCAAGTTTTTTACAACTGCTAGCAACAGGATTACTATGTCTAGTGAACCAGTTCAATGACAAAGCTAAACACTTTGATTGAATAACCTTAATAAATCAGATTAAAAAATCAAATAGTCTGAACAAATCTGATTTTTCACTGAAAATAAAAAACCTGCCTATGATGCCAAGACTCTGGGATTATTCCGCCACCCTTATATTTTAATAATCGAACTATTATTATATTTATTAAATAGCACTATTAATGCTTTGTGATTTAAAATATATACGAAATTGAAATTAGAAGTTTACTTTAAAAAAAATAGATAGAAACCTGAACAAGAACAAAAAAAAAAAAACATTAGCAGGGGTCTGTCTCGGTTTTTCTGAAAGGTACCTATTTCGTGAAAATTTAGATATAATTTGTAAAAAATTAAAAATTATATTTAAAAAATCAATACAAAAATATGGTATAAATATGGATTTATCATTTCTTAAGGGATACAAAATAAAATTTTAAGAAAAAGTATTTTGCGAAGCTACCGTTTTTCACCGTTTTTCCTAAAGTTGAATTTGTGAAAGTACCGCTAAACGGTAGTAAATTCGACATGGACAGACCCCCGATTAGTTCAGTCTCATACCATTAAATATTAATAAAAGGAAAGAAAAAACATACTATTGCTGAATACCAGATATTCAGCTCAAGGTCATACAGGATAATGCAGAAAAACAGCATAACACTCCTCATTCCATAATAAAAACTCTATATATAAAAAAATATATTAACTTACTCTGCATCAGGTGTCTCAGTCATACTTGCACAGGCCTCCTCATCAATTATTAATTCATTAGAATCATCGTACATGTCTGATGCATTACTTTCCATACTTGAGTTACCTAAAATAAATTTTTCTTTATTACTTAAGACTCAATTATTACTACTACAATTATTACTACTTTTCAATTTAGTCATATTAGTTCACTTAGTTATAATATAATTTCTTATTGAGTATGTTCTCAATGTCCTAAACACTATTATTTAAAACGAATAATTCCTAGAAGCTGAAGCGAGAAGATATACTTGATCTTGGTAATGAAAAAAACTTATTTAGGTTCAAATTTTATTAGGATGGAAAAAAAAAAATAAAACATTTGTTTTTCATCTTTTTTATTTAATTTCATTGCTTATTCCTTTTTATTGCTATCTACCGTTTTTCAAATTTGATTTGCTTTTGCAGAAACAATTTTGCCCATAGGTTTTTCCAATGATGTTCTATAAATATTATACATTTCTAAATGCAGAATAATTTTATCAGTTTCTAGTGTAATTTTATCCATGGAGTACTGAATAACTCATAATAGTTCATAATCAATGAATATTTTTAAAAAAATGTATAGTACTGTTGCACTATGGTACATTAAGAAAATAACCAATATCAATTAGTTAAAATTCTCTCACAATATAATAAATACAAAATTATATAATTTAGTTTTTATTATACTTTTTCTAAAAGGTAAAAATCTTTACTTAGCCTACTTCAAATATAGAGGAAAAAAATATCATAAGCTTTTGCTTTCTAAACATATTAAATAAGCATTATACCTGCATGAATGTTCATTAAATTTAATTATTTAAAAAATCATCTTATCGATTGAAACAAGATAAACATAAAATTTACCATATTTATTTGATGGTTATTGATTTCCAAAAAATGTACAACACCATGGACTTAGCCAAGCTCAGCTGGACATGATGTTTAGCAACAACAAAAATATTTTAGAAAATCATTTTGTACCTATTAGAAAAGAATTCTAAAAATATATATGAGTGGTGAAGATGTTTAAAATCTGGCTTAAAGTTAATGAAAGGAATTTTTAAATAAAATTATGTACTTATGTAGTATGTTATGTGCTACATAGTAGTATGTTTATCTTCTTTCAATGAGTAAGATAAATTATTAAATAGTTGAATTTTAGGAACATCAAAGCAAGCATAATGCTCATTTAATTGTATATTTGTAAGATCTTAAAAAAAAAATTATAATACCATGTGTAATATATATTACTCATTGAGAGAAGATAAACACACTATATACTTAAAATATCAACATGTCCATCAACATTCCATAAGTACATAATTTTATTTAAAAATTCCTTTCATTAACTTTAAACCAGATTTTAAACATCTTTAACACTCATATATATTTTTAGAATTAATTCTTTTTTAATAGGTACAAAATGATTTTCTAAAATATTTTTGTTGTTGCAAAACTTCATGTCCATCTGAGCTGAATTAAGTCCATGGTATTGTACACTTTAAGGAAATCAATGACCATCAAATAAACATAGCACATGGACAAAACTTTCATAATCAATTCTTTTCTAAAAGGTACAAGGTCTTTATTGTTGTTGTCGCTAAACATTATATCCAGCTGAGCTAGATCTAGTCCATGACCATTCATACACATTTCAGTATACAGTCGTACACTTTTACTAAATTGATAACCATCAATGCACACATCAAGGTGTGTGAGGCCTAATCAGTCAAGAATATGATCTGAAGAAGACTAGCGTGAAATGCTATATTTAATAGTATTTATATAAAAAAGTATTAAAAAAACAAAAACTAGAGCTTACAAAGGTTAGGAAAAGGTCATAACTTAAAAAACCTTTCATAGATTAAAAATTTAGTAACTATAGTTTTTCATATATGGCAACAAAGTATCCATAGTTTGATATTACCACTTAAATAACATTACATACTTTAAAGAAGTTGCCAAAAGTAGAAAATTTTTTAAAAAAAGTGTAGAGCATCATAGATAGAAAATTTGACATAGATTTTACCAACTTAGTATTTTATCAATATTCAAATAATCATTTAAGGATTCTTAACTTCATCCATCATTGAAACAGTCATTTGTTATCTTGTTGGCATTAAAACTAACTTTACGAAAATATCTCTGTTGAGTTATTGATATACACAATATTTAATCTTTATCATAACTTGAGAAAAACCTCGTTTTAAGAGAATTTCTCAATTATATGTTCTTTTACAGTCAATAAAAATATTTATGAAGAATTATTATAAAACAATTTCATAAAATACATAGAACAGTGTTTACACTACAGCACAAGAACGCGAGAATCTCGCATATTTTTTTCTTTTCTCGCATTAAAAAATTATTACCGCGAGAAATTCGCGCATCCTATAAATCAATTTCTAAGTTCTCGAATTTCTCGCATTTTGGAAAAAGCTTCGAATTACGCCATTTAGAATAAAATCCGTTTCACTTTTCTTCCTGGATCTTTCATTATTTTCGACATCCGCCCCATTATCTAGCTTCTCTACTTACCAGTATTGTTCAAAACCTTTTCGAACAACAGAACACAACCATGGAACCCCTTTCAGAACACATTTCTCTGCAACCACGTGTTTACAGAAGGTAAGGTTTCTTCATGTAAGACGTTTAAAAAAATTTTGTACTTATATAAGATGGACAAATACAGTGTACAACCTAGTAAAGGCAAAATCTTCTATGATGATGCACCAAAAATATTCAATGCTTTAGGAAATAGAAGACGTTAAAAATGTATTATTTATAATTAAAAGAATGATTTTTTTTTTCAAGAGTTTTTGTGTTTATTTAGTTTTTAGAAATCTCACTTAACTTTTTGAAATCTCACCCTGTTTTTGAAAAAGGGTGAGAAATTCTCACCCATTTTTTTTCTATGATGAAAACACTGTAGAATAATGCGGCAGCAGGTTTGTCCAAACTGTCAAGGAGATTTCTGTAACAGTACTAGCGTCATAAAAAGCAAAATTAATAACTTATCAACATTAATTCGAAAGACTAACAGGCAGTGGCAAATGAGAAAATAAATTTCTAAAAAAAAAGAAAAAAAGTCAAGATGAAGATTAACTTAAAAGATAGATCGTTCATGGCATCTCAAACATTAAACAGTTCTTATTTATTTTGATTTATTGGGAACATAAGAATTATTTATTGTCATATTCAGCACTAAACAGGGAACATAAAAGAAGTCTTGTACCATAATCACAATTTTGTCCCAAATTCAGCACTAAAGGATATATTTCTGTATCATGATTTACTGTACCAACTACAACAGCCAATGGCACGGATTTTTACACTGGCACATTTCAAAAAAAAAAAAAAAACAATTTCATGTAGAGATTTGGGGGATCTACGAGCTATACCCCTCAAATTGGTCTGACCAAGACTTGGTAATTATTGAGTCGCAGATAAAGATAAGAAATATCTTCAAGCTCTAAAGAATATACAGTCCCTGGCGAAATTATTACAAGCACTATAAAATTCTATGTAAAATCATAATTATCAGGTGATAATATACAACTTTATTGTTTTTACACAGCTGAAACCGGTTTTGCACTTGTTTACGTTTGAATATCACTTGGTTAACATTGTAATGCAATACGTTAAAAATCAATACAAATTGGAAGAATGTACGAAATCTCCTAACTAAAAACTCATTATAGATACGTTTAAATATTAAAGTATTGTATATGAACTCGTGCAAAACATGTAATTATTAAAAAACTACACTGCGTCTAATAATTTGATCTAATTATTACAATATAATACCTGATATAATAAATATTCCATGTTTTTATAATATATCTTCTAATTTATCCAATCGGTGAATTTATATTACACATCGCCTAATTTAACCACTTGATACACGAATGTAAGCAAGTGAAAACCGATTTCAGTCTTGTAAAAACAATAAAACTGTACAGAATTACCGGTTAAGTAAGATTTTACATAGAATCTTATAGTGTGTATAATAACTTGGCCAAGGATTGTGCAGTGATTTGCGACATTTTTATTATTCTTACAATGAAAATTAACGGTTATGATGTTATGACATATATTAAAATTGCAATCATTAATACAATAAAAATGAAGTAAACATACTGCTATTACATTTGTTTAAAGGTAGGTTAGGAATGAACATTATTAAAAATTTTAAAAGATTTACGCATTCAAAACTATGATAGTACTCATGACAGCACTCAGAGATAGTGCAATTTAGAACAAATTATATCTATTTAGAGTTAACCAGTACTCCATTAGATGATTAAAATATGTAAAAATTGCACACTTAGATGAATATTCCTCAAATTAATGCTTTTTTTTGTTGACACACTTTGTTTATGAATACAGAAAAAAAATCTGCACAATTAACAGCAGTTAAAATAGATAGTCTCAAGTTTAATAAAAAAATTCCATTTATTATCAAGTTTGTTTATATAATTACAAAGAAAAACAGTATTATTCATCACTAGTATTCCTTTTTTCAATGTGTTATTCCTTAGTATGCAATATATTATATCATTCATTACTGTGCCTTTTTCCTATTAAGATTATTATTAAGCAAAACAATTCCAGTTATTGTCATATTTCAAAAAGTTATATTATTTGTCTTCAAATGAAAATTAATAGTTTTTAAATCATTGCACATCAAAGCTCAATAAAAAAAAATACATCATGTAAAATAAAATGCATGCAACAGTATTTATTTATATCATCATAACAGCATTTTTCATCATAAATATACCTTTTTTAATGTTGTTACCCATCACATTTGTCACACTGTAACATAACTAGCAATGACAGTTTACCAGATCAGCAATAATAATTGTAAAACACTATCTTTAAGTAGAATGTGTTGACACATTGCTTTTGTGAGAAGTTCACATTAATTTTATTTAAAAGTAAATAACTTTGTGAAGGCGAAAAGTGCTTAAGAACATCTTTTTTTAACAAAGAAATACTGATTCAACAAATAACAGATTAACAAAAGCGTTCATAAATAATATTTATAATAATCATTGATTCGACAGAACATTTTTAACGATATCATCTTTCTGAATTCTATAAAAAAAGAACACGTCGGACATACATAAAACATTAAAATGAAAGAAAAAAAATCATATGTATGGTGATATTAAAATAACAGTTTAATTATATAATAAAATTCCATGACGCAAATTGACAGCCACCACCGTGTCAACAAATAAAAATCGTGATTAGTGATCACGGTTAAAATCCGGTTCCATTTAAAAACGTGCGTGATTCTTTATTACCATTGTGATTATTCCAGGACTAATCCCACACAGGATGATATTATCCATAATAATATTGCAACGATCAATGACCTGACTGATCATTTGAAATTGATGGAATCATTAGAGGAAATTCTTAAGATAACATAACATGTGACAACACATCAATTCACAAAATTTTATTGATGTAAATAATGAAAATTTCGCGCACCCGCAACAACCAATTAAATCACGAATTTCCTATTTTGTGACAGTCATGAGCGCCGAGACTGGTAGCTGGCGGTGTTAAGCCTACTTTGATGAATAAACGCAAAATCTTCAACTCAAACGATTTTAATTAATTAATTATTTTTTAATCATATTTAAAAATATTTCAAAACAATTTCGTCTTCACAACACTCACTAACAAGACCATCGGACTGAACGAAAATTTTCACGAACAATGGTTTAAAGCCTATTTATATGCGTGACGTCATAGACAACCCATACATGTACATTGAGATTGCTTGAAATTTTCACCTGGCTCAACTAGTCGAAACCAGTTCTGGCTTCTTCCTGATTGGTTGGCTCAAGGTCATATCGCCCAGTATAGCCTGGAATTCGACCTCGTTTCCAGGAAATTGACAAACAATTTCACAACTGGTTTTGGAACCGTGCCAAAAGATCAGTATCGCGTTCTAGCAGAAAAGGGAGGAAGGTTTTTCGTTTTAGTCGATGGAGAATGTTAGATGGTTAATATCCAATATGATACTCGCAGTATCATGATGTCGCTTAACCGAAATAGTTTGGAATGCTAAATATCGTTTTTTTTTCTTCTTTTTTTTAAAAAAATTGCATATTTTCTTAAATTTGTTACAATTTTCTTATTGTTTTCATTTTTTATAAAGAAAAATTAGCTAAATATATTTAATTAAAAAAAAATTTTTTTTGGACCTTATCTTAAGTTTTTAAATTCTTTTTGTTAAATAAATTTCTTTCGCTTGTTTCTTTTTGAATAAGTTAATTTAACCAACACAAAATTAATATGTCAATCATGCTATGCCACGAATAACTATTTGCATACATTTTTCAGTTGTAAAACAAACGAAAAATGGTATTGATTCCTTCGCCTTAACGGACGAGATAATTCGTCTTCGAAAATGCTGCGAACGAGATAACTCGCCTAGCTCTAAGATAGCTGATGATGCGATAACTCGCTTGCCAAAGATCATGTTATTTCTATGGTATGATACCTACTTAACGACATATCGTTTCATCCAATAATTTTCGCTGTATCTTAAAGGAGAGATATCTTATCCTCGTATCATATATTTTCTTGAGGGAACGAAATACTACGACGTAAGCAAGTATTTTAAAGTTACCTCCAAACTTAAATCAATTTGTTGGCTGAAAGACTTACAAGGAAAGTCAACCCAAGACGGAAATTGAAAGCTGAATTAAATGTATCATGATTGTTAATTTTGATTTGTTTAGTTATAATTTATTTTGATGAAATATGCATGTGATGCAGATGAGAGAAGAATATGTCAGAACGGATTATAAAATGGCATTTTGAAAAATTTATTAAGATAAGAACTTATCTGCTAATAAACAGATAAGTGGAACAGCAGAGATCGATTAAGTTAAAGAGGCTTTTTTCGTGTCTATCCTATGTCCTGCTTACGCTTATGTCAAAAAGAAAAAAATTACCAACCAATTTTTTTTTTTTTTAAACTATTTGTATTATCTGAAAACATTGTTAGATCAGAAAGAAAAAAAATCTGATGCTAAAGTATTAGTATCAAGTTGTTTCCAAACGTAAAAATTTTGGTGAAATTTGTTAACAAGCTTCCTTTAAAACTATTGTTAATTCAAGGAGACTTCAAAACAGAAGTAATTACCATTCAGGGGTCTGTCCAGGCCGAATTTACTACCGTTTAGCGGTACCTTCACAAATTCAACTTTAGGAAAAACGGTAGTTTCACAAATTCAATTTTAGGAAAAACGGTAGTTTCACAAAATACTTTTTCTTAAAATGTCATTTTTGTATCCCTTAAGAAACGATAAATCCATATTTTTGTGTTGATTTTTTAATATAATTTTTAATTTTTCACAAATTACGTCTAAATTTTCACCAAATAGGTACCTGTCAGAAAAACCTAGACAGACCCCTGCCATTATTCGGATATAAAGCTGGCTAATAAAAATAAAACGTTACTTGTTTCAATTCTGAGCAATTTAAGAAACGTGTTTTATTTGTCCTCCTAAATATGATGAGATGCCTTGTTCCTAATAAATACCGTTCTAGTTTAATTCTGTGTTCTTGCTACTTAATAGAATCCAGGCAAAAAATCATATAAGTATTTCAATCTTTTTTTTTCAGTTAATCCAATTGAAATTGAGCGTACAACGAGTAACCTTAAAGAAAATTCTGAATCCTGAAGGTCAAAATTTTCAATAATATAAATATTTTTTTAATAATGACGGACAAATTTACTCTTAACTTAAGAAATTTTTTTTAACCTTAATACATAAGTCACAATTTTCAATGTATATTAAAATTAAATGTACTGGAATAACTTTAAAAATAGCTAAAAGACAAAACTTGACTGAAAACTTTGTTTGAATATAAAAAGTCGTCAAAAACTGTATTACTTTACAACACAATCCAATATGCCTGGAAAAGAAACTATAAGAATCTAAAATAATGTGCGATACAAGAAAAAGATTTTAACTGTCTTTGCACAAATATTTTCTACATTCGAATTGGTTAAACTAAACACTAAACAATCTTAATTTGGTTCAGAACGTTAAGGGGAAAAGAAGAAAAAAATTTTAAAAAAGCAACATTGTCAACTAAACATTCGTTCGTTCGTTGTTGTAGAACTGGGCATCTGAGGCCTAAATGGCCCTTTTCCCATTCATCTTGAAATATCCCCATGACGGGAACATACGTAGGAAAGATTTGTCAACTAAATAACTAACACAGATGCAAACACATAATTTCTACACAAATTTTTTCCTGTGGTAGCAAAATATCTGTTCTAATGTATAATTCAAGTTAAATAAATTTGACTTAAAATCATTTTACCCACCATTGGAAAAATTTCTAAGTCCAAATAAAATGCCACTGTGTTTCAGTTACCACGTGGTGAACCCTTAATGAGTTGTATATATAACAGAATTCTGCAAGTTTAAGCTTTTAACTTTTTGCCACTTCAAAAAACATTCTTTTGAGGGTGGATCAGTGAGTTCCACAAAAAAAACTTTGCAGAATTGAAAAATAATACTTACAAAATATTCCATGCTGAAGAAATAATAAACAGATACAATGAGCACAAATGGCTAAATATTGCTATATGGAAATGTAATCAAAGATGTAAAGATCTTAATATAAATTTCACAACATTTATTTGACAAAATATTTTGATTTTACAATTTTATCAAAAAATCATAATACTTAAAAAAAAAAAAAAGCATTTAATTGCTTTAACTTGTAAGCCTTATTTTTATACGAAACAATTAAATATCACTATTTTGAAAGAATAAATAACGAAATAGCTTCAAAATTTTATAAAGAATATATTTTCATATCTGCTTAAAAATATTAAATATTTCAGTTTAAGATAAAACTATTTATTTAATACTATAAAATGCATTATAGCTTAAGTTATTGTCTATAAAGTCTAAGTCTATAAAGTTATTTTTAAAAATAAATTACCTTTTTTGGTTAATAGTTTTAAAATGAAAAATGCGTAATCAAAATGATATAAAAACAGTTAACTTACATAACTTTATTTCGGATAAAAAAGCACTTAGTTTCAAAGAAAATTATTGCCTGTTAATTATTGTCTTTATAAATATAATGTAACTTACAATAATTAAAAAAATAACCTTTTAATAATTAAGAAAATAAAACTAGATAAGGTTGTATTATAAAAATGTAAGCTTTTTCAAACAGGAAAATAACTTTTATTAATTTATTTATTTGAAAGTGTCAAATCAACAATTTATTATTTCTGTAGCGTCTTGCTCAAAAATAGTTTAAATTTTCAGGAATTAGAAAAAAATATAAATTACTTTATTAATAAGGAAATTTACTATAGATACTTCAATTTTTTGTTGTTCTTAGAAAAAAATTTTTTTTTCATTATTTGAAGAGGAAAGCCATACAAATATTGAAATAACATTCAAACTACATTTAATGTTTAAGATTTTTTTACCATAACAATACCAAATTTATTATTTATCTTATATCCCTTCCAATCTTGTTGTTTTTTGATATCGAATAAATGGTGCAATATACAATCGTTAGTTACATAGAGCATGTTAAAGCATTAGAAGAACTGCCAACTTTCTACGCTTTTGTAAAAATTTATTCTAGTGGTAGCTAAGTTTATGTTTTAATGGTGGGGTTTTGGCAGTCCTAAACTGGTTTTGGACAGGACACGTGGGTTTTAATGTCTTAAACTGTCCTAATCTGACTAAAATTGTCTTAAAGTTACAAAACCTAGAACATAGCTAAAAGGTAAAAATTCTATATGTGTAACCACTGTACAGATAATAATTACATATATTAATAAATATTTGATACCTTTTATACAATTTACTTTAATTTATTAAAGGGAAATGATATAAGAGGAAATGATTAATAACTTTTGAAGCTCCACAACTCGATGAACAACAAAAGTGAATACCTTATCCTTTAAATATGAATAAATATGCTTCTGATACTGATAAATTATGTTTTTGCATAATAATAAATAATGAATCATGACGTAATTTGAATAAAAGGGTTTTGGACAGGACGGTTTTAACCGCAGAATAATCCATCGTCCTAAATCTTGCCAACTCTGGTATTCTTCTTTATTCATTTAAACTTATTTTCCGTACCACTACATCATATAAATGATTTAAAAGTTCATACGGGACGTCACTTTGTTTCATCTCTTTTGCGATGAAGCTTCTAAAATATTGGCAAAATTACCAAAAATTTTGAATGCTTCTGTTTCGAAATGTTTACCACTCTAAAAAAT